CTCATGAATGTATTATTGTCACTACCATTACTGATGTTTCAGTTGTCCCTCTTGGCCCAGTGGGAGCCTCAAGTTGACTACTGGGCCCTGTTGACACAACTCTGGTAATCTTTCATAGCCTCCTGATCTTCTGATATGACAGGACGATCCAAGATCATCTCCCACATTTCCTGCCCAGACCTGAACTCAGCCATTTCTCCAAGGAGATCTGATCCCTTCTAACGGGAAATACTATTTCCAGAGCACAGTCTGCATTTCAGGAACCTCAGTTACTAGGTTGGTGATTGGTTCTAGATGTTCAGTGAACACATAAGAGATCTTCCCTTCCTTCCTCCTCTATGTGTGTGTATGCATGTGTGTGTAAAATAAAACATACCACGATTCACTATGAGAAGTCCTATTCAAATTGAGGACTTTGGGATTTTTATTTATTCTCCTCTAACTTACATCTGTACCCCTTTTCTTCTATACAAAGAATCCTGAGTCCTCAATGGCACCAGGAATAACATAACTAGAATATTATTATAATTCCTCATTTGCTTCATCTCATGATCTCCATCCAGCAATCTAAGATGAGCAATACCAACATTACCAACAACAGTTTTAGGGTTCTTGTTTGTTTGGCAGTTCTTTTTTTCCATCTCCCTTTGGCTGCACAAGTTACTGTCTTACAGTTACTTGAAATAGTTACTCTTGGATGACTGAGACATCAACTGGATATATATTTATGTTTAGTCACATGATATTTTTTAAGAATTAAGAATTATTTAATTATTAATATTAATTGTTAAGAATTTTACTGAAAAATTAAAATTTGACTGTTTTATAATTATGTTAAATATAATATGGTGCCAACACCAAATATACAAAGCAAGGGATTATATAAGTCTAGCTTCTATCCCACGTCCTCCATCCTATTCTCTCCCTTCCCCATAGGTACCTATTTTTTACTGTTATCCTATTTTATTTTATTTGTTTAACATAAGAAGCTTTTATATAAATAACCTTTCACTATGTGGTCTATTTTATTTACTTTCTTACTTTTTAAAGCATGTTTTTTGGTATTTAGAAAAATTTATATTTTGGTTCTAATAATTATATTTATACTAATATTTTTGTGTAATACTGCCCATAATTCCCTCTTTTTCCTTGTTATGGTCTATCGGTTACCTTCTATGAGCAATATTGTTATTAGTTAGTCATCATTTCTTTGCCCTTTAGTTTATTATTCAGGACATTGCTCAATATACTAGGCTCCAGAAAATTTTTCTCAAGTTTCATTTTTATTTCTTTTATTTATTTATTTTTTGTGAGGAAGATTAGCCTTGAGCTAACATCTGTTGCCCATCCTCCTCTTTTTGCTGAGGAAGACTGGCCCTGGGCTAACATCCATGCCCATCTTCCCCTGCTTTATCTGTGGGATGCCACCACAGCATGGCTTGCTAAGTGGTGCACGGGTCCATGCGTGGGATCCAAACCCGAGAACCCCAGGCCACCAAAGCAGAGCATGTGAACTTAACCACTATGCCACCAGGTCAGCCCCAAGTTTCATTTTTAGCTTCTCTTAGGTAACTGCTATTTTGACCGTAAGGACAATGATTCATTAATTCAAGGTTTCTCCACCTTGGCACTATTGACATTTTGGGCTGGATAGTGGGAGACTTTGATGTGGGAGACTGTCCTGTGCCTTGCAGGATGTTTAGCAGCATCCTTGACCTTAATCAGATGCTCACAGCATCCCCCCACCTTCACCACTTGTGACAACCAAAAATATCTCCAGACACTGTCAAAGGTCCCTTGGGGGAAAATATCACTCCCACTTGAGAACCACTGATTTAACTAAATCAGAGTTCTCTCTTTGTATGTACTACAAGAAAGTTCAAGGACAAATTAGTGGCAACTTCTAAGAAAGCATATAAAGATCTCAAGACAAGAATTCTATGCACTAAACGCACCTAGGCTTTACCTTAATATCCAAACTTAATATCCACTGTTTTATTGAGAAAAATGAAATTATACAGTCATATGTCGCTTAACAACGGGGAAACGTTCTGAGAAATACAACGTCAGGCGATTTCGTCCTTGTGCAAACTTACACAAACCTAGGTGGAATAGCCTACTACACACCTAGGCTCTAGGGTACCAACCAATCTTACAGGACCACTGTTGTATATGTAGTCCTTCGTTGATTGAAACGTCATTATGTGGCACATGACTGTATACTTTTCTTAGCTTCCGTTAATTTTTATGGAATGAAGGAGATGAGTGAATTTATTCATAGGAAAACTTGGAAAACATAGGAAAGTTATCACTTTCTTTCTTCAAGATAAAAATCAGGAGTTTATCTAAGATCCTCTATTAACCATGTCCCTAAGTAGAGTTGATTATTCCTTGATTGGGCAAGTCTCTATATATTGTTGGCTTCTTTATTTTCATATCTGTAAATAAGGAAGATCACTAAACACGAACTCTTTGATGACAAAGACTAGGCCTTACTAACTCAACTCTGACTCTTATCACCTAGCATAATGGCTGGCCAGCATAGACCAACCCTTGTTTTATGTTCAAATGAGTGGTATTAATACAGTATGAAAAATCATCTTAATAGACAGATGACTCATAAGCAATGGGTAACTTTTACATAGTAACCAAATCTTGTATTTAGTAGATGGTGAATACACACTTACTCAATGCCTGCCAAGGCCATAAAAATCTAAATAACCTTAGCATATAAAATTCAGAGTAAGAAAGTAACATTTGCATATTCTTCTCCCACTGGTGATTGCAAAACAACACATATGCTTCAAATATAACTTGCTTTTCTCAATAAAAACAAGGTAAAAGAGGTATTTTGAGTTGAAAACAGAATTTAAATTTTAGCACACAGGGCCAGCCAAATGTGGATGGTGGTATTCTAGAAACGTTGTGGGGCCTGCCCCGTGGCATAGCGGTTAAGTGCGCATGCTGCACTGGTGGCGACCCGGGTTCGGATCCCCGGCAAGCACCGATGCACCACTTGTCAAGCTATGCTGTGGCAGTGTTCCATATAAAGTGGAGGAAGACAGGCACAGATGTTAGCCCAGGGCCAGTCTTCCTCAGCAAAAAAGAGGAGGATTGGCATGGATGTTAGCTCAGGGCTGATCTTCCACACACACACACACACACAAAAGAAAATGTTGTTGAATGCAGAGAAGTCAAAAGATAAAAACTGATGGGAAGCATGCCATTCAAATTCTTCTAACATAAAGACTGGATTTACCTTTCCTCCAACACTTTTTTAAGGTACAGCTAAATTAAAGGTGCATCTTGCTTTATAAAACACACAAATAAAAAAACTACAACAAAAAGCTTTGTATTTAATTATATACATTAGAGTATAATTACTCACATAAAGAAACTATTTTCCAAACATCAGGCAACTGAATACCTGTACTACTATTTAATTAAACAAAATTTAGGCAATCCATTCTTTATACACAAGCTTATTCCAAGCAGATAATCATTAAAGCATGGACTTAATGAGCTAGTATATAATAAAAGAAAATAAAGTAACCTGTGTACCACCTACATATTACCTTGTATACCATACATGTACACACTTTACCTTTTGAAAAACATTGCCCGAAATAAATCCAACATAAGATTTTTAAAATAGCATATACACGTAATGATCAAATGTTATTTCCACAAAATTAGTTTAAAGTATATTTGTGCACAAACAAACCTAAATCTCCTGGATATAAGCACAAGTTCAACCAAAACACCTTATGGTGTCGCTATTCCACTGCAATCTTCCTAGGAAACATTTTTCATTGTACCTAGCTCTCACTTGTGATTGTTTCTTGTCCAGATGATAGAAAGCAATGTTAGGAAGTGGTTAACGTTGGCCTGTATCCACACCACACGTGATCAGAGGCTTTAGGGCATCATTTACATATCCCATGTGCCTTCTCAACTCTTTACATCTCTATATGGCATACTTTCCCTGTGGTTTCTGATGGACCACCAGATTTGTTAACTGTTAAACTGATGCTCTTTCCTTGTTCTCCTCATATATATCTTCAAGGGACAGTGGAAGCAGAAGTAGTTTATGAACAACTAAAAACAAATTGTCAAAATGCCGTAGATTGCAATCAACGCAAAAAGTGGGTCTAAGGATGCATTCTATAAGGATAAAATATTATGTTCTAAGAATTATCTACCTGTATTCTATATATTACTTTTATATATCATAAGTATATTATTATATATTATTACCTATCTATATATGAAGATCTACTGAAGAATATTGGTGAAATCACACAAGACTAAATTTTCCACTTGAAAAACTGACATGTTTCTAAATAGACGTGCCTAAAAGATAAATGATTTTTTTGTGTGTGTGCGGAAGATCAGCACTGTGCTAACATCTGCCAATCCTCCTCCTTTTTTGCTGAGGAAGACTGGCCCTGGGCTAACATCCATGCTAACATCCATCTTCCTCCACTTTATATGGGATGCCACCACAGCACGGCTTGCCAAGCAGTGCATCGGTGCGCGCCCGGGATCCGAACCAGCGAACCCCAGGCCGCCGCAGCGGAGCGCGCCCACTTAACCGCTTGAGCCACCAGGCCGGCCCCAAGATAAATGATTTTTAACTTATAAATTTCTTGAAATGGACCTTCTTAGTCTTAACAAACCTCTTGATTATTTGTCCTGGCTTTGAAATGAAACACATGAAAAGAAAAATTCAGGTAATTTACCTTTAACTATTATCCTCATTTACCTTTAGTGAGCAATTAGAAGTCTACCAGTCTAAAATAAAGTAAGCCCAATCTACTAAAATGCAAAGAATCTTGCCTATCTCTCTTGCAAAAGACATTTGCCCAGGTTCTAAACTTAATCAATTTTTGATAAAAACAGATAATGAATTCCCTTCACAGGAACATGGCCAGATTACAAAAGTTGGCATCCCTGTAAATTAAGATGAAATGTGCAGAGAAGAGAGAACTTTCGCTTACTTGCACGAAGGACTGAAGGTGTGACCTCAATTTCACTTGTTGCTTGATAAGGCTGAAAGGCTGAAACATTGTTGGTGCCAAGCTCACTGCCAAATATCTCTGGACTCTGGGTGCCTGTGGAACTGGCACTGGTGCCATCACCTCCATGATGTGGATCTTGCTCATCAAACACTGCTACCAGCTAGAAATGAAAGGTAAATTTGCATTTATAAACAAAGCCATATAAATTACTACCAAAAACTTACACTACATTTGACATACATATGCAGAGGAAAGATATTGATATTTATGCACCCAGGAATGTTATGTTTTAGGAAGCAAAACTTCAGAGAAATGATCTTTCCCTGAATTTTGATGTTTTACTTTTACATTTCTAAGTTGTATATTTCATATCCAAAATTCTATGGGTGAAAAATAATAAAATGGTTTTATATCACAGAATGCTAAGGAAATGAGGGTGGATTTAAATCTTTTTGTAAAGGATATATTAAGTGGAAAAGATATATATTGGTTGCCTCTGAGCAGCTAGTAGGAACAAGGGTGAAAGTGAGAGAAGGGGAACAGATAATGGACATAACGGGGCACTGACACTTTTCTGAATATACTTTTCATTAGCTCTGACTCCTAGAACCTTAATAATGATTCAAATACCTAAAACAGAAATAAATAATTGAAATCAATCAAGACGGCAAGGGCGGGGGTGTGATGGAGAATCTAAAATGGAACAGAGACAAATAACCCTAACTATGTTACAAATGAATAATACAGCCACAGTGAAGGGGGTGGAGGAGAAGAAAAGGACCAGCCTAAGTCACTTGGGAAAACAGTATTTTCACTGTTTAATGTAAGGCTAAAGACAAAAAGAATTCTCACAGAAATACTGTACTCTAGTTAGTAAATTTGTTTCTCACAGTATATGGTTTAGCAATTCTCACACTACTACACACACACACACACACATCAGAAATGAATGAAAGAGAAAAATATGGTAATTGGATAAGAGTCAATATTCTCAACATCAGAAATTACAAATAAGGAAAGGCTAGAATAAACTCTATGGTGTTAGATTAGAATAGAAGCATCAATAAGAACTCATGGTTGGGGCCGGCCTGGTGGCAAAGCAGTTAAGTTCGCGCTCTGCTTCTGACAGCACAGCGTTCGCAGGTTCAGATCCCGGGCATGGACATATGCACCACTTATCAAGCCATGCTGTGGCAGGCCTCCCACAAAAAGTAGAGGAAGATGGGCAAGGATGTTAGCCCAGGGCCAATCTTCCTCGGCAAAAAAGAGGAGGATTAGCAATAGGTGTTAGCTCAAGGCTAATCTTCCTCAAAAAAAAAAAAAAAAAAAAGAAAGAAAGAACTCATGGTTTTTATGAGTAGGTAGGTATGGGTAGGTAGATGGATATGTATGGATGGATGTTAATGCATGTGTGGTATACAAACATATATTTCCTAGCTCTGTCCACCGAGAGGTCCTAGAAGCAATGACACCCCAGGACCAACGAACATAAAGCGCACAGATCTCGGATTCTAAACACCATTTTCCATAAATGAACCAGTGCTTCTTGGAAAAACGGTTAATTCCAGGGTCGGAGGCAGGGAAAATACAAGATGAGCCTGGAATAACTTATAATGCTAAAAAGTAAGGAAGCACTCAAAAGTGATGGAGGCACATCAAAGGGAATCGGACGCCAACCTGAAGGAGCTCCCAAACGCCAAGGCTGGCGCCACCAGCAAAAAAATAATGATAGTATGGGGTTTCAACTCAAAGAATAAACTCAATATCTGTGAGTCCATAATGATATAAATAAATAAAAGAATAAATAAATGGTAGACAATGGACACCTCTTCCTTACTGTAGCATTCCAATCAATAAATATAGAAGGAATGATGGAAACAGGAATCATCATTAGGCAACCTCCACGGTAATCATTGTTGCAGGCAACATCTATCAATGGATACTAAAATTAATGACTAAGAATATGATGAGAAATGGGATATCTGCATATCTCCAAGTATCTCCCCCATAAGATACTTTTTACTTAAAAAGAGAAAAATGGTATCTTTGCAGTGGAGAAACTTGGCTGACACACCACTTTACCAAGGTTAACATCACCAGTAATAAGACACATCAACGTCATGTACCCTCTGATAAAATGCACTGAGAAGTAGATATATAACATTACGTCTGCAGTACTCCCGCCAAAAATGTATAACTTCCATCTACTTATGAGGAAACATCAGACAAACTTAAATTGAGGGACATTCTACAAAATAACTAATACTCCCCTAAAATGTCATGGTCATGACAATAAAAAAAAAGACTGATAAAATTGTGTAAATTGGAGGAGACTGAGGAGAAATAAGAACTACATGCAATGTGAGGTCCTTGACTGGATCCCGGGCTAGAGAGAGGACATTAGTGGAACAGAGGCAACCTTCAAACGAGGTCTGTAGATTAGTTAATAGTATTGACTCAATGTTAGTTTCCTACTTTTGATAACTGTACTATGGTTATGTCGGATGGGTAGATGAAGGCTGTATGGAAACATTCTGTACTATTTTCACAACTTTTCTGAAATATTATTTCAAAATTTAAAAATTTCATAATATGGCATTACAAAGTACCATAAAATTTAAAATTCAATCTATTTCTTTTTACAACTAAACAGTGGCAGCACTTCTTTAAAATCTCAAAGAGTAATCAAGTTCTAAGGAACACCACCCCTTGGTCACGCACCCTGCAATCCTACGCCTTAGCATTCCATGGAAAGAAGAACCACGACTGTACCCAAAACCAACCACCTCTTCTGCCTCCAAATCAAGCTTTTTCAATGCCAATACTCCTATTAGTTAAAGGATAGTAATTTAAACTTGCAGAATATGAGAAGTATTTAACTACAATCCTCATTTCATAGATGGTTTTGTCATTTTAAACAAATGTTATTTCCATGAACATTTACATATTATCAATCAATTCATAAGACAAAAACAGAAAACCATCATAAGGTCATAGAGACATGTAGACAAACAGGAAGCTCAGAACCCTGCTGTGGCATCATATATAATTAGCTGATTAAACAATCTGGAGGGAGCTTAAGCGGGAAGAAGAAATCAAAGTAGGATGAATAGCTGGGCCACTCAACCTGAGAACAAGCAACGTAAGTGGGAAAAGAAATCCTTAGCAGTTATAAAAAATGGAAAGGTGTTTGTACGTCTACACTGAAGTTTCCATATACAATAATAAAATCAGCCTATTTATCTGACTTTGACTGACAAGCATCTCCCTGTATTAGTAACACAGACATTCTACTAGATCAGAGCATGACTATGTTTAAATAAAACTTTCTTTACAAAGTCGGTGATGGGCCAAAGTTGGCCCCTGGGCCATAGTTTGAAGACGCCGCACTAGTAAGATGACCTTGCTCACCCCTCTAGTAATATCTAATTTAAAATTTTCAATTTGGGAAATAAAACTTAAAGTCAAGGTACTTTTGTAACCTTGATAAGCTAACCATATCCATTTTAAGCTCTTCATCGGGATTTTGAATTTCTATACTTGATTTTAATATCATCAGACTTCTCACGAGGTGTGTGGCTTAACATGTATTTTGAAGATATTAAGTTTTGACATTTTGGCGCTTAATTGGAAGCAAATGAAATTCAAGTTTTACTATTAACTTTGCACAATGACGCGTTCTCTCAAGAATCAAGTCCTTTCTGCAAAGTGAAAAATGGTGATGGAAAATTACAAAGTACGAGTCTTTAAACACCACACATGATGGAAGAACTTATACATGTATATTAGTTTCAACAATTATCTCCAGCATTTTTAGAAAATACAAGTATTATGAAATCTGGACTGTGTCACGAACAAATGCTGTTTGAATTTCAGTGGCAGAATCACAGTTGGTGATTTTCAATATGCCAATAACATAAAATTCTACAGCTTTTTTTTTAAACCAAAATTTAAGTGCCAGGTGCAAATATGAAGTAATTTTGTGTTAAATTGGGAAGGATATACAATTTTAGAAAATCTACTCTACAAGAATACATATAGTAACACAGCAGAAGAAAATGAGACCTTCACAAAAACATCACATATTAAAAATCTCTATCATGCCCTTCAAAAAATAAAGGAAATGTCTGCTTTCAAATTTGTGAAACGTGACTCGAATCCATATTTTAACAGATGGAATCTTCACTGCTGTCCATGACGCAGATCATTTTTGAAAGCTCATTTTTACCTTCAATAGTTATTATTTAATTTCTCTTCTGATCCACTCATCAGTCAAGTTTCCATGGGAAAAGACAGGCTGAATTTAGGATAACACCCACAATAACCCACATATAAATAAACTCCAAACTTGGCTACACATTTACCACCTACTTCAGGACAAGTCATTTTAACTATCTGAAACATCAGAACCCTCCAAAAGAAAACCTGTTACCGTAAACATCACACACAAATGCTTATAAACCACTTGGACTGAAGTGGTCCCCTTAATGGGCACAACTGATGAGCTAAAAGCCCACAGCTATGTGAAAGCAAAGTAATTAAAAGTATAGAATTCACAATCAGGGAAACCTACATTCAAAAACAGCTCTGATCTTATTTCTTGGATGGCTGTTGGTAAATCCACTGCCCTCTGTACCATCTCTAAGCCTTCCTTTCCTCATTTTGAAAAAGAGGATTGTGGTTGTGGTAGGCAGAATAATGCCTATTATTGTCCATGCCCAAATCCCCAGGACCTATGAATGTTAACCTTCTGTGGCAAAAGGGACTTTAAGATGTGATTCAGATTAAGGACCTTAAAATAGGGAGATTATCCTGGATTATCTTGTGGGTCCTATCTAATCACATGAGTCTAGAAAATGGAGAACCTCTCCCATTGTGGTCGGAGAGAGATGTGGCAATGGTTAGAGAGTTGCTATACTGCTCACTTTGAAGATGAAGAAAGGGAGCCAAGGAACATGGGGGCCTCTAGAAGAAAAGGAAACGGATTCTCTCCTAGAGTTTCCAGAAAGGAACACAGCTCTACGAACACCTTGATTTTAGCCCCGTGAGACCCATGTCAGACGTCTACCCTACAGAACTGTAAGTTAACAAATTTGTGATGTAAGCCACTAGTTTGTGGTAATTTCTTACGGCAGCAATAGGAAACTAATATAGTGCCAA